TGCTGTCTCTGGAGCACCACCGCAAGGTTCACGAGGGGCTCACCAAGTGTCCCATCTGTGGCGTGATAGCCAGTCGCGTGGGTCACCTTCGACGCCACATTCAGATGGTGCACCGGCTGCCGGCGGAGCAAGTCTACGCTCTGGTGCCGAGCAAGTTTTCTCGGAGTCGCTGAGACGGTTGGGACTGTGTGTGATGTATATTGACTGTCGGGCAATAGTTTTAGCATAGACATCGATGCGGAAAATTAGGTAGACAGGAGGCCTTAGGAGGATCCATTTTCTTTCATGAGTGTCTGAACGTTACAACGAAGACACTCCCAACGTGTGGAATGTTTTGAGTTCTTCCATTTAGGGGCGCAGTGAGACTTCTGTTCCGGGAGTCGAGTAGTGGAGGATCTGTTGATTTCTTGGAAAAGTGACGCTATGCGATGTTAGGGTAGGTAATGTTTCATCAAGAATTGGCGAATGAAGACCTTTGTATGGTTTCATAGTTATCAGACAGCTGTGTCCCGAATTCTAGTTAAAATGGTTCGGTGTAAAGGTAGATAGTGCTTAGATGTTGATGACCCAAAGTTACTGCGGTTTATGCGAGACTGCAAACTGTTCGCGATCTCCTTGTTTTCAACGGAAGAATGACTGATAACAAGAATATGGAAAGTTTCTTACAAGTACCGTCTTAAAGTTGCTAAATCAGACGATGTGCATAGATAGCTTTGGCATAGGACGCTACTGTATAAGGATTCGCCGACAGATGAACAAACCTAAGCCTTGATTTATTTCGTCACTGTGGTGACAAGAATGGAAGCTGAACATTCATTGTCATTTGCAGCATGTGTTACTCTAACTCATTTCAGGGAGAATGTAGTTGCTACTTTTTTACAGCCCAGATAAGACCGTCTTGTGTATTTTCTTATTCGATGTGTTCTGGCGTACTATGTATCGCGCTTTTAGTGGAGTCTTGAAGCGAAACATTTTTTTTTTTTTGGAGTTACGTATGTGTTTTAATGACGTCGATGATATCGTGTTTAATAAAGTGTGCATCGAAATATTTGAGAACAGATAGTGAAACGCTTGTTATGTGAGCCATTCAACAAAAAAGCTACCAATGACACCCGCTGATAAACACATGCATTGATTTGGAGACACCTGATTCAGTCACCATGCCAGTATCAATTTGTAATTATGGAAGAAAGATGCACCAGTGGCCATTGCTACCCATCAGTTTCACACGCTTCACCCTCGTCTTCCCTTGCTTCCTTCTTTCCTTCTTTTTTATTTTCCCAATAGTTAGTCACTTATGTTAACAAGTTAACTTATGTTAACTTGTCAATGGCATTACTATGATAAAAAGTGCTGCTTTTCAAACTTGCGGAGGGGCACTGTAGGCATGCATCTTTAGATAAGTCCTTATATCCTTAAACAACCTCGTGATCCGGGTATCTATGTGTCACTTGAACCGCCAGTAATCACACACATCAGTCTGTTTGGCGATGCAAAGATCCATGGCCTTTCACGTCCTGACGCTAATACATGTCACTCGTCTCTTGAAATCATCAGTCCCCTGGCCGTTGACCACCCATGTCCTTTACTAGTCCACTAGTCTCCTCCCTTCGTAAAAGCTCTTCGTCATCAGCATCATTGTGAATTTCAATTTTGTCCACAGGTTGTTTCGTATGCGACATATGCGGCAGGGGCTACGCCCACGCCGTTTCTCTGGGACTGCACAAGAAGGTTCATCAAGGACTGACAACGTGCGCACTGTGCGGCAAGGTCCTCAACAAGGTGGCGGACCTGAGGGAACACATACGCATGGTCCATAAACTGAGCAAGGAGCAAGTGCAGCTGATTGTGCCTTCTATGCGGTCGAGATATATGTGATACGGAATGTTCAGAGCGAGAAAGCGTAGGGACGTGAGAATGTCGTGGGAAGGATCAGTGGACAGGTGTTCCAATTCAACAAATGTGTGAATTGTAATGTGATTAGTGATATGTAGGAGACTGTCTTGCGTCAGGGATGTCTGGAGCAAGTTGTTCCGTTTGGTGTCCACTCTATGTCAGTGGAGTCGCTTGTACAATATATGTGATGGCAGCCATGTGGTTAAAATCGAATAGTGACCTGAGTTCAATGAATGTGTGTTTGATGATTTCATATTCAGGATATGAGGAATGACATGGGAACGGATTGTTCTTCTATTTTGGACGCAGCTTTCTCTTTGCTAGCGATGCCTGAGATATACTTCGAATATATCCTGTCTTGTGACTTGGTCCAACACAATGCCACAATTTCGCATTACTTTTATCATATAGTGCTCGGGTCTGTTTGTCATAAATAGCCCTCAGTTCGTCAATCGGATATGCGCAACACTAACAGATGTAACGTCAACTGGATTGGTTAAGGTATTGTTGGAACGATATCACACGACAATGATTCACGTGATTTTTCATTTAATGTTTGTACATGAGATATGTTCCTTCATAGACAGTTGGACGCATTCCTGTCAATTCACTCTAATGTCGTTTGCCTGTTCACCGTTGCTACTTGCAACGTTTGATGACTGTCTTGTAAACGTTTCATTGTCTTGTTTTAATCTTCGGGGAAAATATATGCTAATGCCCTGAGTTTGTTTCTAAGTCTGACAACATTCGTCTGCTGATGACTCCGGTTCTGATGGTGATATATGTGCTTCGTAACGTGTATGACCTGTATGACATTTCTGGTGTATTTACAATAAAATAGGTGCATAGATAGGTTGGGTGGTGTTGACAAGCTGCGGTAGTAACACAGTGCCTTAAACAGTACTCTGGTGACACTGGACAGTTCCATCGGCAGTAACCTTAGTCCTTATCTGCTTTTGGTTTATTACCAGTACTTCTAATTTTTTTTTGACCCGTTACAGTTTAAAAAGCGTTGTCTTAAACCGTTTACAGTACCAACTTACCATTACCACTTATCAACTTACAATTACATTATACACATTACATTTACAATATACAATTAACTTACCACTTACCAACCGCGGCTTGTCCCTAGAAGCATGTCGATCTGTCGATCATGTGAGCTTCAGATAAGCTTAACTTGACTGTATTTGTTCATGTGCCCATTCATTGCAAACATGCGTCTTCCTCTCTGCCGTCCGATCACCTACAATGCCATTCTTCCCCAGGTAAGGGCCGGCCTTGCCCAGACTGTGGGCGAATCTACAAACACAGCGGCTCCCTGATGCTGCACAGGAAGGTGCACCAAGGGTTGACCACGTGTCCGATATGTGGCAGCGTCAACAACCGCGTCGCAGACCTTCGCAGCCACATGCGTACCGTACACAAGCTCACCAGGGAAGAAGTCAAGGCGATGGTGCCCAGTGACCGCTGGCGATTGAACAGGGTGCCAAGTCGGGAACAGCCTCCGGATCAGTGAAAAGGTTGGCAGTGACAGGCGACAGCAGTGGAGGAGCCGTCAGTGGCATTAGTGAATATGACACCAATGGTGTCAGTGAACGAACAGACAGTGGCAGCAGCGAATGATGCTATGTTGGTGGTATCGTTAGCGTTAGGGCTAGCTTTGTGATGCGGACTTAGAAGAACCGATGACGGTGTGCAAGTTTTGTTTTGCACCAGGTGTTGAGATCTTGCTAACGAGAGTTAATCAAAACGGTGATCATTCTCTTGCCAATTGCGATTAACGCATGTTTTGTGCTCAAACCTTGTATGTGTTCGGAACTGTAATGTTTGCATTAAGTGAATCTGCCTTGTGGGAACTCATTCAGTTTTAGGGCGATGGGCATTTTGAAGAATTACGAGCCTCAAGTGCAGCCAACTGTATACGCGTAAGTAATTTAGTTCGCCTTCTGGCGTCTGATTAGCGAAGTTGGCGGTATTGTTTTGGTTCTTTATTTGCACTGAAAAGTTAAAATGATGGTCATACAAATGTGAGAGCTAAAGGAGCTTATGACAAAAATGTTGCGCTCAAGATTGCGGCGAGAGTTTTGTAGTGAATAGTGATGGAGAGTTGGTGCCCGTCAAACCCGGATATAGAGGAGTGAGGATGTTGTTAAGATGACTGCTACTTAAGATGACTGCCGATTTTGGGTTCATAACATGTGGCAGATGTGACATATACCTAACAAGAAATAAAGGCTGAAGCACACTTTCCGCAGTCAGGAAATCGCATGCGAGAGCCTATTTAAACACATTAAAATTCTGCGCGCATCTATCGTATGCGGGAGGTGCGTGCGATTGCTGCGAGCGTGATTTAATGTAGTTGAATAGGCTCTCGCATGCGATTTCCTGACTGTGGAAAGAGTAGGTGTCAGGCTTAACGGATGACCAGGGACTATTTATACTAGGGTTATGTTTTGAATTGAACCATGCCAACCATCTAAACAAATAAAAGTCGGTACTTAGGAAAAGTTTTGTCATTTTCGGTATCAGAGGATAAACCGAACTGTAGATAACGCTAGACCCCATGAAAATATAGATGTTGTATGTGAGCGCCTCATATGTGAACGCATCCTATAATTGTGTAATTCTTGAAAATCTAGAAGTGTTGTTGGTGGTGGTGTCAAAAAGCCGTCGTGGTCCCACATCGTCTTACTTATTCTGAAAATAAAAGGTAATACGAGTTTTCATTGTTTTATACCTTTATCCATCGGTTGAGCGCTAAATCACGCCAGAAGTTTCGACACATTCTCATGAATAAAAGAGTAAGTATGTCAGGTGATGGCTCGCTAGCAGTGAAAAAAGTGGGTGCGATGTAACTAGAATGCGACATCCTTTCGGCTATTCTAAATCTGATGTGTCGTACAATGTGCAGTGTGAATATATACCTAGCCCTTACCTTTGTGCCAATGCTAACGAACTTCCTATCATGCATTGTCACTGGGGAAGCGGACTTGCCACTTCAACCCTTTGCCAATCAGTTTAACCTCAACTTCCACATTCTAACCGCAGGTTGTTTGAAATAGACAAACACTATTCGTCATAACTTTGATCCTCCTTCACAGGTCGTTCGCTCGAGTGCAATGAGTGCGGCAGCGTCTACTCCCATCTCAGCTCCCTCCTGCTGCATAAGAAGAAGCACGCCGGCTTCACAACCTGCATGTTGTGTGGCCGCGTCTACGGCAGGGTCACCATCTTGCGGAACCACCTGATGAAGGCGCACAACATGTCCAAGAAGGACGCCCGAGAGATGTCACGGGGTGGTCGGAGGCGTACCCGGACTGTTACTCTTCCAGCTCAAATTCAAACTCGGAGTTCTGTGACTGTTACTCTTCCAGCTCAAAATCAAACGCGGAGTTCCTCTAGCTCTGAAGCGCATTCAGTGGCACTGGATAACATACAGCTCTCGCATAAACATGTTTCTCTTCCAGCTCAAAATCAAACGCGGAGTTCCTCTAGCTCTGAAGCGCATTCAGTGGTACTGGATAGCATACAGCTCTCACACATCTGATTTGGGCTGAATAAGAATGCTGATTGTCGCCTAGTGTTCAGCACCTAACGATGAACTAGTATGTAACACGCCAAGAAATTGTCGGATCTAGTGATGTGGACTGATGAAATGGCCCAACGTTGCGTCAGATTTTCGTTTTGAGCTGATACCTCCAAGTGCGTGGCTTTAGTTCAAGCTATACCTACGTGTTGTGTCTGTATAGCGATGCTTCTTTTTTTGCCCTGCAGCGTCATTTTTCTGTAGGCGTTCGAGGAAAGTACTTGTATATATGTTACTGGCGGTACGTTTGAAAATTTGATTTTGTGCGTGCGGAACCATTGACCGAAGGGCTAACACGTTTGTAAGTCGGGATAATGACACTGTTAGTATTATGTGCGATGCCTTGCTTTGTGACGCATTTGTTCCGGAGTGTCATTAGGCTATAGGTGGTCATTTGCGTATAATTTCCGTTCTCGTCCGGTGAAGAGAACGCGCAGCTAAAATAGCCAGGCACGCAAGGTTTGACCGTGATCGTATGGTTTTAGAACATGTTCGCGTGCAAACGCACGTTGTGCGTAGGAGCTTAAACGGCTCATAGCAACGTTTTGAATATGATTTTTTGCAAATGCTTAGTTTGGTTTGTCATCTTCATTTTTCCAGTTTTTGTCCGTTGTGCAGTTTAAAGGTAACTAGATTTGTTGGTATAGTACACTTTTTAAAGCTGAAATAAAAAGCAAGAAACGTTTTCACAATGTCTTTCTTCTGGCTTCATAGTATGAGGGGAGAATGTTTAAGCTCGGTCACATGTTTTCGTCACATGCTGAGGAAAGTGATGAGAATCTCACCGGTGCCTTTGTCTTTTATGTAGGTACTCCTATGGGACTTTTTCTTAACATATGTATAGCCTACCGCAGCATGACTAATTGAATCTGGGTTCCATGCGTAATATCATAGTATGATTGAAAAGCTAGCAGACGTGGTTCTCATGCCTTATTAATTCACGGTCTTCATACCAAGGCTATAGAACTCTCCCTCTCATACTAAGGCTATAGATTCTCTCCCTCTCATACTAAGGCTATAGAACTCTCCCTCATTTCTGACACCTTCTCATGCCGGCCCATTATGCTACCCTCACGCTCATCCCTGACCACAGGTGTGCCGCTGTCCTGTGACGTCTGTGGCAGGATCTACCACCACATCAGCTCACTGGCGCTGCACAGGAAGGTCCACCAAGGCCTCACCCGATGTCCGGTCTGTGGCAAAGTCTCCAGCAAGGTGGCCAACCTCAGGAGACACTTGGAGAGGTCACACAGGATGTCGGCGGAGGACATTGGACGCATCGTCCCCAAGAGCCGGCACTCTGTGATGGCGACGAGCAGGCTCTCGCGGCTCTGATGCAGTGATCTGAAGTTGATGTAGATGATCTTTGCAAGATATGTGAGAGGATGATGGTTTGCGGTTTGCGTGATTAAATGGAATCATTAGTAGTCTTTTGTGAAGTTTAAGGTCTAGATCAGGAATTTCAAGGTGATGATCCTAAGAGTTTCGCCAACTGGTAGAAGGAACTGCCGCGGCTTTTCAAGCGCGTGTGTCCACGGTTTTCGTGGTTGTGTTTTTTGTTCGAAAGACATCGATTGCTAGGGTTGCTATCTAGTCCGAAGACAGATCTGCTGACTGCTTCATTATTTTGTTTCTTTGTTTCAATCGTCAAATTTATGAGCTTAGAGTATTCAGCTGAATTTTTGTTGGTATGTTTTTCATTTGTATTTGATCCCCAAGGAAAGTCCGACTTGCAATGATTCCCCCTCCCTGGCCGGGATACTTTTTTCCACGCTAAAGCTTTCTGCCCCCCCCCCCCCTCCTTTCAGATAATAGGTAATATCGACTGACGGCCTGGTTAGCTTGTGATAATACAGATAGAACCCGAAATCATGGTTTTATGCGATGTTATAGTTATTCTTTGTTGTGTTGCTATGTAAGTAACCTATTTAATTTAGCAGTTACGGTCATCCAATATTTGTAACGTGACGTATTTTTCTATCATAATATGTGCTGTAGAGTTGGATGACAGTGGAGTTGGATGGTTGCATTGTATAATACTTCATAGTTAGCTTTTACTTAGGTCTGATTTTTACGTCAACTTCCACGTCTCATGCTCCACAAAAGCAAAAGAAGTACGTACAAGACCAAGCATCCCACCATCAACGATATTAAACGTATTGAATGCTTAAATATATGTTAGGTTCTACAGTCTTCACTTCATTCTCGCAATCGTAATCAGCTTTTCGGGTGAGTTATCAACAACTGTTCTTGTTGCGACATTTTCGGACTCCTTCTTAGGGTCATGTAATGTTATATAATGAAATGTTTGAAAGAATATAATCTGATCGGGGTCGAAACGGGCAGCTGGTTGATTGGATCTCTTATCTCTAACAACTGTCTAACTAACCTTCCCTCCCGTCATAAGCGGCATGGGCCAATATATAAAAGATAAGGACAAGAAAATTGTGAATGTGTGTGTGTGTTTACTACTTACTATCCAAGGCCCCGAGGCTATTTATCGGTCCCCAAACCCATGGTAAATCCTCCACAATGGCTTACCGTTTAAGCTCGTGTCGCCTTGGAGTTCACTTCTCTCGCCTTCCTTCCAGGTCGCCCCGTCTGGCCGGTCGCTCCCGCTCTCCTCCCGAGCGGCGGCGGGGACTGCCGCACTGCGGCTGGGTTCCAATGCGACATTTGCGGCGCAGTCTACCGGCGCCGAGACTCCCTCTACGACCACCGCACGCACCATGAGGGACGCACCAAGTGTCACGTCTGCTGCGCCACTTTCAGTACCGTGCGCAGCCTTCGTCGCCATCTGCGAGACCTGCACAGATTGAACGCCGACGAAGTGCGAAGTAGAACGCAAATCAACGACGCGTAGAGGCTACTCACTGATCACTATAATTCGCGTGCACATGATTGTAAACGCGACGTGTAACCTGTGTATCGGTTCTATGTAGGGATTGGGTCGGTTTTATAACACACAGGCGCGGGAGGGACACTGCTGCATAACAAGCGAGAGGAACGCGACTGGCCCGCCGCTCCAGACAGCGGGCAGGCCGCGCAGACCGGCATAGCCTCCGGGCAGGTCAGGGCAGGGGCGGCGCCAGGCACGGTGGTGCGGGGGGCGGTAACCGCAGAGGCGCTTCAAGGAAATATACTCGGAAAGGTTACGAACATAGAACCTTTTTTGAATATCGATACAGTGACGACAGATGTCTAATCATGAGACGTTTTATTGACAGGATAACACGGAACGGTTCTAGACTATTAAAAAAAGTGATGATGTAGCGCACTTCAACAGAACGCATAGGATCGTCTGGTCGTAACTTAAGCTCACCGGCGTTGAATCTAGGTCCAATCGTCCAATAAAGTGACGTCTGTACCCAAGTAGGTTATTTAGGTATGCTCTAATTGCTCAATTTAACAGGCCTCTGAGTCCTAACTTCGTCTGAAACTCTGTTCAGACTCTTTGTAACAGGGCGGTAGACTCAGTATTTAGGGACGATCGGTTGGCCAAAACACCAGTCTGCAAGGCTTCGGTGGGAGTCGCAACGGGAACTGTATGAACAATTAGTTTCGCATGCATAGGTACATGAGGGGGCCTCGGGCCTCGGGGAATGTGAATGACATGTTACCGAAGGACGGGAGGGGGAGGAGTGGGTGGTTGGTGGAGGTATTTTCGATTCAGACAGGACGATAATAAGTGTGTGTCCGTTTTCAGGGTCATGTCTGTGATATATTCATGATAATGTGGTCTTCTGATATGCAGAACAGCGAATAATCAGATCCTACAAACCGCAGGCAAACGGATGCCTCAAACAAACTCTGTGCGTAGAAAGTTCCACACAAAATATGTTTATTGTTTCGGAGTGGACTGGGAGGAACATCTCCGGAACAAACACTCATAAATCGAATCAACATAACTAGTTGTCGACGACAATGAACCCTAGATGACAGCCTACAACATCCATTAGACTCTGACAAAAGCCTGTCTCAACGTACAGGCTTACGTACCTACGGAACATAAAAAGAGCATGCCTTGGATGAGGACAATGAACAAGACGAGGAACACTGGGCTTGACAATAAACACACTCGTGATCAGCACGTTCTGCCAATCTCCACGCGCATATTCACAAAAACGTCGGAGGAAAATATTAAATATTTGGCAACGTTAGCCATAATGCGGCATGCCCATGCCATCCCCTGAAGTTGAACGTGCTACATGCGAAGATACTGAAGCAATTGCACATGTAAGGTACCTTTAAAACCTTTTATCGACATACGCAACGAAGCTTCTTGGCACGTACTTTTACCTATAGTCGCCTTCTTAATGATCTAGCCGTCAACTTACCAAAATACATATATCCAGCGGTCTATCTCAGCCATTTGGCGCATCACAGTCACGGTTTTAAAGCATGTTTTTTCATCTGCTCACAGTACCTATGTACATATGCTCGTGCTGGCGATTTCATATTCTTGGTACGCATTGGACTTTGACTTAAGGTGCTTCCAAATGCACACCTACCTACCTACTAACACACAAGTTGACAAACTTCTCAATCTCTAGGTGCTTCTGTAGGAACCGTTAAATAAAACGCACATCAAAAACACATTAATCCGAGTTGATGCCCCCACTTAGATACTCCTCCATAGCTCTCCCTAACGCACTAACATTCACCACCATACTTTCTCCCTGCCACGACACAACACTGCCATCTGGTGTCGACACGGCACACTCGACTTTCCTCTTCCCCCGCAGTGGAGCGTCACGATCGCAGAGTTCCGCCCTGCCCGACACGCCTCTAGGACTATCCTGGAAGCGTATGATGTCCTGATTGGTGCAGACTATCCCTCCGCCTGACCGGCGCACTGTGGAACTTTCCACAGCTGAGAGGGACCGAGATCGGGCCCGGATGGAGCCTTCTCCGCTGCTACTGCCTCCTCCGGAGCTGTCATAATCGCCGACATAGGAGAGGTCACAGTGCCGGCTGCGCTGGAGGGCAACACGCCGTGACTGAGAGCTGAGTATGGGGACCGGAGCAGAGTCTAGTTTTCGGAGCAGTTGTTTGACCCTCCCGGTGTTCTTGGCGGCAGTGGTGGGTGACTTGATGGTGCGTTGGTCTCCAGTTTTTCCACGAGAGTTTGGAGATCTTCGTCCGGCATCAGATTGATGACGAATGGGACTGGTTGAGCTTTTATCAGAATGGTCCCACGTGACGTCATCTGGGCTTGGTTTGACGTCATGTGGGGATGTGCCGTAGCTAAGAGGTGCCGTGTTGGATGTCCCGGGATGTGTCACGTTCTCACAGCTAACTCGACGTACTCTCACCTGACGACGATGTTCCATGACGTCACTAAATCGTCGACAGCGCCCGTTCGGTAGTTTCCTGCAGGCACCGCTAGGTGGCGTTACGATTGCCTGAACAATGGGTCGTGGAAGTTCAGGGGTAGAAGCGGGCGAAACTTCTAACGAAGGTGGCAGCGAGGGACAACCGTCGGCCCTGAATGTAACTCCTCTTTTTCGGACTCTGGGTGCCGTCGGAGGCGTTCTCGTCACTGATTGGTTGACACCGTCCGGGTCAAGGTCATTAGCGCGACTAGAGCGGGCGGAGCTGCTGCGGTGCGCCATTTTGAAATCGATTGCAGAACTGAATTTGTGCCAGAATGGGACGGACAGGAACGCGTTTGAGGAGCGAGGAGATGAGGCATCTCGCTGAATCCTATTTATGTCCATACTTGAAGACGAAGCTTTGATGTCGTGCTGTTGAACTTCATCATCATGCTTGAACACCGATTCGGGACAGCTAGTTTTGCGGTGTGGGTCCGTTTCTTCCCGCTGAAGCTGATTTGGGGTGACGCAGGAAGACCTCTTCTGGGGCTCCGACGTCTTCGGAGCACCACAGAACTGAGCCAGAGTGTTTACCAACGCTTCGCCCTTTTCGCCTTTGTTCATTGTGTTTTTTTTTCTGAACAGGTTTTAGTGACGAGGTGGACTTGCAGATATAAATGTAAATTATTGAGTTTTATGGACAAACAGCACGGTGCAATGGAAAGGGTCAATTACTTATCATAAATGCCCTTTATACTCAAAGTTTTGCTACGGTTACCGTGTTTCTGGACGTTTCACGGTTGTAAATTTTCCTTGCCGTAAAAAAGTTAAGTTCAGTCTTCAGGAATGGTGCCCGTTTCTCCTGAAGCGAAGCCACCTGCAACAAAGAAACACAAAATAAATGTTTAGTTTAGTGCTATGGTGACGTGAACCATTTCGAGTAGGTAGTCGTGTCCCCAGTGCCCACCTACAATATATAATCAGATTGCTAGTTCTGCCCATACTTTTGGCCGTCTGATAATAAAAAAGGACGATAGAAAATATCCTTTGGCCATCTTCTGGTAATAGAAAAAATGAGCCTTACGACTCCTTCCCGAGAAGGCTCAAGAAATGCTAACTAACATTGCAAGCAATCACGTCGCTCAGCCCAGTTCATAGTCAGATAAACCTTCAAACCGCCTGTCTAATAAACCGTCACGTCAGGGACATGAGCAATAAAGCAGCAATACGCCGTCTCCCGGGAGCACTAAGGGGCGATGCAGAATTTCATTAACTTGGGCCGTATATTGGTAAGGTATTACACGGCGGAGTAAATGTCGTTCAAGAAATGGTGTTCGGTAAATATGGCAAATATGGCAAATATGGCAGTATGGCACGGTAAATATGGCATACATATGACGGAATAATTTGCTGCCGATGAGAACTGCTAACTTGAAACTGAAATATTTTGTACTCTTTATTCACACACCTGCAATTAGAAAACTGGGATGAACTCTAGACAGCGAGTATCGGTGATAGAATTTGTCCATAATGCGCATGTTATTAGGTATACAGTGGCCGTTTTCACGACGGAATAGCAGGCATCTATTTAATCCCCATTTGATCCTTTGGTTCCTCAGGAATTTTAGTAGTTCTTTTTAGTAGGTTCCCCAGCTTTCGAATGAATGGTGCGTTAGTTTGCTATTTTTCTATAAAATATCACATCGATTTACTTTATCTAAGGATTTATCACTAATATCAACATAAAGCGTAAGCACAATTAGGGGAAGTTGGGGCAATGCCGGAGTTGGGGCAAAGCCGAAATTCGAGATATTTCGAAAACCGTAAGACATGGATGCCACCTGTCAGTGATGCTCTGAAGCTTAAGTGACTACAATTATCGCATGTTTGTTACGAGTCGTCATTCGGAATACTTCGACTGTGAGGGCGCCAAGAGCGTTTTCAAGGTACGTTTCCCTTGTACTACATGCGCCTTTGAAGCTGCATTTTTTACTCATTATGCTACCGTTTGTCTGGCCAATTCGGTCAAGTAATCTTTAGCATGTCTTTGCATAAGTGTGCTGCCTATTTGAAGTTTATACAGCACGTTGAAAAGTTATGGGCCTGCAAATGAAAGTATGGCTGGCTGGGGTAATGCCGAAAACGTGCGATTACGCACGTGTTAAAAGCACGCTACGTGGACTTTACTGCTGTAGAATAGCAACGCGTATTTTTAGTCACACAAATTACACTTTCAACCGACACAACGGCATGTTACCTATAAGGAATGATTTACCTGGCATTTTCTTATTATATCACACAATTATAACTTCCAGTGTGCACCGCGTCCTCAAGCTCTTGAAACGTGTGTCAGCTTTGATGAATTCTGGATAAAGTTTGAGATAAAATGGCAAAACATCAATGTCGGCATTCCCCGTAGATCATTTCTCCCATTTTCGGCTTTCCCCGCAGTCCGGGGCAACGCCGAAAAAGTCACTTCTTTGATATTTTTAGTTTGTGCCAGTGGCGGCGGAAGCGGGGGGGCAGCGGGGGCACGGCGCCCCCCCATCTTCCAGGGTGGGGGTGCAAACATATCTTTTTGCCCCCCCAAATTGTTATCGACGAAGTACCACAATACTTCCATACTACGTCATGAACATATGCCAGTTTGGCTGAGTACCTTTTTAAGTTAATAGAGCGAGTAATTTGGAATGGATTGATATTGTTGTCAATGTCGTCGTACATATTTTGATCACATTGG